AGGTAAACATACTCCATAATATAAATGAAGATGAAGGTGGCGACGAATCGAACGAAGATAGCGAAGATGAACCAGAATTTGAAGACATAGATGATGATTCAAATGATRAAGATGAACCGATGTTATCTAATCATTCTTCTGATGAGTAGCTTGTCTTCTGTATGCTTATTTCACAGTTGTACATATATAATCGTGATTTGTCATTATCTTTCTTCAAGATATAATCTAATGTTTGTTCTTTCAGGAGATGTCACGCCGAGAGCGTGGTATAGGCCGTCATGGGAGTCGCGGCAGCCCCATGTTTGGTAGGGGTAGCAACTCTGCCCGCTGCCGATGACATTGTAGAGTTTTCGGACACCGCTTTTCGTGGTTTAGATGAGCAAGAGGTGGCCATGGAGACCCCATCTTCGACAGGTTCGGGGTCGGGGAGAGGCCCCAACATAGAGATGCCGACACTGAGTCATCCGAGCCACCGAAGACATTTGTCTTTGTTAGGCCATGGGTAAGTAGATGTGGTATAAGACTTTGTATTACATAATAAAATAATATGAATGTCTTTGTGTTGTAATTTTTTTTTTAATTGTACAGGTTTAAAGATGCCCATGTTGTCCAAGAGGAGACGACTATCTTCAGGTCTTCCTTTGCTGGTCCGTGGCATAGATGGAATGAAGTACCTCAGGAAGCATGTGACTTGATGTTCCAGCGCTTTAGGGTTGGTGTACCATTTTAATGTAATTATACATACAAGGTTATTGTTTTTATATTTATACAAACATTGTGTATGTAGGCTAAGTTCCAGTGGGAACCTGAGCTGGATGACACGGTTCATGATTTATGGACCAAAGCCATGCACAACAGGTACTCTGATTGGATGAGCTCTGCACGTGATTGGGCCGTGGCACAGGCCTATCCTGGTGATCAACAATGGGATGGTAAGGAATTCTCACGGATTAGATTACACCGTCCCGTATGGATACCAGACAGGTTTTGGCTGCAGATGATTGACACGGTATGCATCTCTATTGTGAGCTTTTCGAACTGCCATGTGTACCGACTTTCACCTTATATATGTGCTCTGTTTTTAACAGGTTTGGGATACCGAAGCTTGAAAAAGGAAATCCAGGATCAATCGGGCCAATCGGAACACCTAGTTTGAGGGGTTGTCGTCCAGACACACTGGGGGATCGATTAGTACGACACAACATCGAGACAGGATGGTGAGTATCTAATCTTTTTTGAAAATGTAATTTGTTCTTTATGTTAGTAACAACTTAACCTAATTGTCTAATGTAGGCACAAGTAATGGGTCGTGAGCCTAATGCTACTGAGGTGTTTGAGCGCACACACTGCACGAACCGGAAGTTCGATCAA